GAGTGGCGCTGCCCAATACTGTCACTATGGCGGTGTGTCCACTCACAGGATGAGTGGCGCTGCCCAATACTGTCACTATGGCGGTGTGTCCACTCACAAGATGAGTGGCGCTGCCCAATACTGTCACTATGGCGGTGTGTCCACTCACAGGATGAGTGGCGCTGCCCAATACTGTCACTATGGTGGTGTGTCCACTCACAGGATGAGTGGCGCTGCCCAATACTGTCACTATGGCGGTGTGTCCACTCACAGGATGAGTGACGCTGCCCAATACTGTCACTATGGCGGTGTGTCCACTCACAGGATGAGTGGCGCTGCCCAGTACTGTCACTATGGCCGTGTGACCACTCACAGGATGAGTGGCGGTGCCTAATACTGTCTCTATGGCGGTGTGTACACTCACAGGATGAGTGACGCTGCCCAATACTGTCCCTATGGCGGTGTGTCCACTCACAGGATGAGTGGCGCTGCCCAATACTGTCACTATGGCGGTGTGTCCACTCACAGGATGAGTGGCGCTGCCCAATACTGTCACTATGGCGGTGTGTCCACTCACAGGATGAGTGGCGCTGCCCAATACTGTCACTATGGCGGTGTGTCCACTCACAGGATGAGTGGCGCTGCCCAATACTGTCACTATGGCGGTGTGTCCACTCACAGGATGAGTGGCGCTGCCCAATACTGTCACTATGGCGGTGTGTCCACTCACAGGATGAGTGGCGCTGCCCAATACTGTCACTATGGCGGTGTGTCCACTCACAGGATGAGTGGCGCTGCCCAATACTGTCACTATGGCGGTGTGTTCACTCACAGGATGAGTGGCGCTGCCCAATACTGTCACTATGGCGGTGTGTCCACTCACAGGATGAGTGGCGCTGCCCAATACTGTCACTATGGCGGTGTGTCCACTCACAGGATGAGTGGCGCTGCCCAATACTGTCACTATGGCGGTGTGTCCACTCACAGGATGAGTGGCGCTGCCCAATACTGTCACTATGGCGGTGTGTCCACTCACAGGATGAGTGGCGCTGCCCAATACTGTCACTATGGCGGTGTGTCCACTCACAGGATGAGTGGCGCTGCCCAATACTGTCACTATGGCGGTGTGTCCACTCACAGGATGAGTGGCGCTGCCCAATACTGTCACTATGGCGGTGTGTCCACTCACAGGATGAGTGGCGCTGCCCAATACTGTCACTATGGCGGTGTGTCCACTCACAGGATGAGTGGCGCTGCCCAATACTGTCACTATGGCGGTGTGTTCACTCACAGGATGAGTGGCGCTGCCCAATACTGTCACTATGGCGGTGTGTCCACTCACAGGATGAGTGGCGCTGCCCAATACTGTCACTATGGTGTTGTGTTCACTCACAGGATGAGTGGCGCTGCCCAATACTGTCACTATGGCGGTGTGTCCACTCACAGGATGAGTGGCGCTGCCAATACTGTCACTATGGTGGTGTGTCCACTCACAGGATGAGTGGCGCTGCCCAATACTGTCACTATGGCGGTGTGTCCACTCACAGGATGAGTGGCGCTGCCCAATACTGTCACTATGGTGGTGTGTTCACTCACAGGATGAGTGGCGCTGCCCAATAAACTCGCCCCTCGGGGCAAAATTTAAAAAATTATAAAAATCTACGTTTTCTATGTATCGGACTCAATACATGGGGTTGCTTAGGTTGATACGTTTCTGGTATTGAGGGCGGGGTGAGGCCCGCTAGAGGGCGGGGTGAGGCCCGCTAGAGGGCGGGGTGAGGCCCGCTAGAGGGCGGGGTGAGGCCCGCTAGAGGGCGGGGTGAGGCCCGCTAGAGGGCGGGGTGAGGCCCGCTAGAGGGCGGGGTGAGGCCCGCTAGAGGGCGGGGTGAGGCAGAGTGAGGAACAACTGGACTGGTTTATCATGTAGGAAGATAACCAGGGTGAGGTTGAGCGTGTCCACAAGGCATGATATCACTGTGTTATCCAGTAAGTTAACCTGTGTGTAAGATACTGGCTATACCTGGCCTCTGATCATACGTAACCCCAGGTTTTGCCTCCCCCAGCCCCTCCCCCAGCCAGCCCCACCACCCCCCCCAGCCAGCCCCACCCCCTCCCCCAGCCACCCCCCCCCCAGCCAGCCCCACCACCCTCCCCCAGCCAGCCCACCACCCTCCCCCAGTCAGCCCCAACACCCTCCCCCAGTCAGCCCCAACACCCTCCCCCAGCCAGCCCCAACACCCTCCTCCAGCCAGCCCCAACACCCTCCCCCCAGCCAGCCCCAACACCCTCCCCCCAGCCAGCCCCACCACCCTCCCCCAGTCAGCCCCACCACCCCCCCCAGCCAGCCCCCTCCCCACTCAGCCAGCCCCACCCCCCCCCTCAGCCAGCCCCACCACCCTCCCCCAGCCAGCCCCACCACCCTCCCCCAGCCAGCCCCACCACCCCCCTCAGCCAGCCCCACCACCCCCCCCTCAGCCAGCTCCACCACCCCCCCCCTCAGCCAGCCCCAACACCCTCCCCCAGCCAGCCCCACCACCCTCCCCCAGTCAGCCCCACCACCAACCCCCCTCAGCCAGCCCCACCACCCTCCCCCAGTCAGCCCCACCCCCCTCCTTAGCCAGCCCCACCACCCTCCCCCAGTCAGCCCCACCACCCCCCCCCTCAGCCAGCCCCACCACCCTCCCTCAGTCAGCCCCACCACCCTCCCCCAGCCAGCCCCACCACCCCCCCCCAGCCAGCCCCACCACCCTCCCCCCAGCCAGCCCCACCACCCTCCCCCCCAGTCAGCCCTACCACCCCCCCCCAGCCAGCCCCACCACCACCTTCCACCAGCCAGACCACCACCCTCCCCCCAGCCAGCCCCACCACCCCTCCCCCCAGCCAGCCCCACCACCCTCCCCCCAGCCAGCCCCACCACCCCTCCCCCAGCCAGCCCCACCACCCCTCCCCCAGCCAGCCCCACCACCCTCCCCCCAGCCAGCCCCACCACCCACCTTCCACCAGCCAGCCCCCCACCCTCCACCAGCCAGCCCCCCACCCTCCCCCCAGTCAGCCCCCCAGCCAGCCCCACCACCACCTTCCACCAGCCAGCCCCCCACCCTTCCCTCAGTCAGCCCCCCCCCCCCCCCACCACCCCAGCCAACGTGACAGGTCACCAGGTCAGTATGGACGGGGACACACCGCCTGTGTACTTGTGCTAATCACCATTAACTGAGTTACCAGTCACGTTAAATCTGGTCCAATAATTGCTTACCATAGATCATATTAAGTATTATTACTATGTTTTAGCGGCGTTTGTATTCATATGTTCATATTTACTTTGTTCGTCTTGGTGTATACTGGAAGCTGCAGGAGGACGTGTTATCACGTGAGAATGGTAAATAGGGAGGCAGAGACGTGCAGAAGGGAGCCAGCACTTCACGCAGGGAGCCAGCACGTCACGCAGGGAGCCAGCACGTCACACAGGGAGCCAGCACGTCACGCAGGGAGCCAGCACGTCACGCAGGGAGCCAGCACGTCACGCAGGGAGCCAGCACGTCACGCAGGGAGCCAGCACTTCACGCAGGGAGCCGGCACGTCACGCAGGGAGCCGGCACGTCACGCAGGGAGCCGGCACGTCACGCAGGGAGCCGGCACGTCACGCAGGGAGCCGGCACGTCACGCAGGGAGTCGGCACGTTACGCAGGGAGCCAGCACGTCACGCAGGGAGCCGGCACGTCACGCAGGGAGCCGGCACGTCACGCAGGGAGTCGGCACGTTACGCAGGGAGCCAGCACGTCACGCAGGGAGCCAGCACTTCACGCAGGGAGCCAGCACGTCACGCAGGGAGCCAGCACGTCACGCAGGGAGCCAGACCTTCACGCAGGGAGCCGGCACGTCACGCAGGGAGCCAGCACGTCACGCAGGGAGCCGGCACGTCACGCAGGGAGCCAGCACGTCACGCAGGGAGCCAGCACTTCACGCAGGGAGCCAGCACGTCACGCAGGGAGCCAGCACGTCACGCAGGGAGCCAGCACGTCACGCAGGGAGCCAGCACGTCACGCAGGGAGCCAGCACGTCACGCAGGGAGCCAGCACGTCACGCAGGGAGCCAGCACGTCACGCAGGGAGCCAGCACGTCACGCAGGGAGCCGGCACGTCACGCAGGGAGCCATCGCGTCACGCAGGGAGCCAGCACGTCACGCAGGGAGTCGGCACGTTACGCAGGGAGCCAGCATGTCACGCAGGGAGCCGGTACGTCACGCAGGGAGCCGGCACGTCACGCAGGGAGCCGGCACGTCACGCAGGGAGCCAGCACGTCACGCAGGGAGCCAGCACGTCACGCAGGGAGCCAGCACGTCACGCAGGGAGCCAGCACACGTCACGCAGGGAGCCAGCACACGTCACGCAGGGAGCCAGCACACGTCACGCAGGGAGCCAGCACACGTCACGCAGGGAGCCAGCACACGTCACGCAGGGAGCCAGCACACGTCACGCAGGGAGCCAGCACACGTCACGCAGGGAGCCAGCACACGTCACGCAGGGAGCCAGCACACGTCACGCAGGGAGCCAGCACACGTCACGCAGGGAGCCAGCACACGTCACGCAGGGAGCCAGCACACGTCACGCAGGGAGCCAGCACACGTCACGCAGGGAGCCAGCACACGTCACGCAGGGAGCCAGCACACGTCACGCAGGGAGCCAGCACGTCACGCAGGGAGCCAGCACGTCACGCAGGGAGCCAGCACGTCACGCAGGGAGCCAGCACGTCACGCAGGAGCCAGCACGTCACGCAGGGAGCCAGCACGTCACGCAGGGAGCCGGCACGTCACGCAGGGAGCCAGCACGTCACGCAGGGAGCCGGCACGTCACGCAGGGAGCCGGCACGTCACGCAGGGAGCCAGCACGTCACGCAGGGAGCCAGGAACTACCGCCTTGACGGACTAAGAGAATCATTCCAGCCATGATTCTTGGGTGACATTGTGGATAGGTTGTGAAAGAAGTCGTTCCAGGTTGCGGGCGCCGGTGAATAAGCTGGATTACCTGGAAGACGTCCTGGAAAGGTCCACATTTTTCTCCGTTTTCTTGAAGAGGAATTGGGAGTAAGAAGGGAGCCTCGGTGTGGAGGACCCAGCGAGCATTCCAGCAGTAGGTGACAGGGCGTGATGTTGCCTGGAACACCGTAGCTACTGTGCTCTGGAACACCGTAGCTACTGTGCTCAGGAACACCGTAGCTACTGTGCTCTGGAACACCGTAGCTACTGTGCTCAGGAACACCGTAGCTACTGTGCTCAGGAACACCGTAGCTACTGTGCTCAGGAACACCGTAGCTACTGTGCTCTGGAACACCGTAGCTACTGTGCTCAGGAACACCGTAGCTACTGTGCTCAGGAACACCGTAGCTACTGTGCTCAGGAACACCGTAGCTACTGTGCTCAGGAACACCGTAGCTACTGTGCTCAGGAACACCGTAGCTACTGTGCTCAGGAACACCGTAGCTACTGTGTTCAGGAACACCGTAGCTACTGTGCTCAGGAACACCGTAGCTACTGTGCTCAGGAACACCGTAGCTACTGTGTTCAGGAACACCGTAGCTACTGTGTTCAGGAACACCGTAGCTACTGTGCTCAGGAACACCGTAGCTACTGTGCTCAGGAACACCGTAGCTACTGTGCTCAGGAACACCGTAGCTACTGTGTTCAGGAACACCGTAGCTACTGTGCTCAGGAACACCGTAGCTACTGTGCTCAGGAACACCGTAGCTACTGTGCTCAGGAACACCGTAGCTACTGTGTTCAGGAACACCGTAGCTACTGTGCTCAGGAACACCGTAGCTACTGTGCTCAGGAACACCGTAGCTACTGTGCTCAGGAACACCGTAGCTACTGTGCTCAGGAACACCCTACACGTTCAGCCTCATGGAGGACCAGCAAGCATAATTTTGCATAAGAACTCATTGATATTGAGAAATGTTTCCATAAAGCAGTTGAAGCACCACCCCAGGAGCACCTCCCCCCCCGGAACACCACCTCAGGAGCACCTCCCCCCCGGAACACCTCCCCCTCCCCACCCCACAATCACCCCGCGTCTGGGGTCCAGTAACAATTACAAATGACCATGTAATTACAACTTAAAGCATGGTAAGAATCTGAGTGTTGGTCCCTGAGACAGTGTTGGAACACACATGTGTTCCAAAGTCTTACCATTGTACTCTACACTTCATGTTATGTATTCAAATACATCAAATACATTCACTGTGTGTTGATATTCCCCTTTCCTCCAGTATATCCTAAGGTATACTGGCCGGATTGTTAGATATGTGGCGTAGTTTAGCTCACCAGTGATTGTGACGATTGTAATATATATATATATATATATATAAGAAAGAAATACAATCTTTAGGTGTAGACCTTTCTCGTGTCGCAGTATAGTAACTGAGAATTTATTGGCTGGCGGGTCACTCACGACAGAACTGACCTATCAGCTTCCTTTTCCCCGGATGGCAAACGATTGAACGACAGTCGTGGCAAAACATGAAGTTTACGCATTTCCGATACGCCGCGTCCCTCTTGTTGCAAGACCAGGTAGACGCCCCCGCCCCGGCCCCCCGCCCTCCCCCCCCCGGCCCCCCGGCCCCTCCCCCCCCCCCATGTGTGAGGCAAGTGAGGCAAGGTGCTGACGCCAGAGGGAAGCACAGGTTCATGCGCCAGTATCATCAGTGTTCACACACACTTGAGTATTTTAATAGGTAACAGCTGCATGAAGTAACGATGCGCTTGGTGAGATCTACTACATGAACTGAAGTAGATGTTGCACCATTGAGGTTCTGGTCTACCATCAGTCCTATACACAACAATGGTAGATTCAACAGGGGTACACTTATCGAGGGTAGATGCAACAAGGGGTAGACTCAACAAGGGGTAGACTCAACAAGGGGTAGACTCAACAAGGGGTAGACTCAACAAGGGTAGACTCAACAAGGGTAGACTCAACAAGGGTAGACACGGTAAGGGTAGACTCAACAAGGGTAGACACGGTAAGGGTAGACTCAACAAGGGTAGACACGGTAAGGGTAGACTCAACAAGGGTAGACACGGTAAGGGTAGACTCAACAAATATAGAGCCAACTGTCGTCTTATAAACAACAACACATTACCCTACGCCAGTTTTGTTATCGAACAAATACAACAATATTTATAAGCATGTAAATAACCGCGGGTGTTGAGGACGCCGGCCACCAGCACTGGCCGCCTCGCAGCTATTTTTACCTGAGTCTTAACACGAAGGCTGTATGGCTGGAGGAGTAATTACTGCAGGTTTGGTCTGGGGATTACTGGAGGCCCCGCCACAGGCCGCCACAGGCCGCCACAGGCCGCCACAGGCCGCCACTGGCTTATGGAAGTGGTCCCTGGGTGTGCCCCTGGTGGGGTGTGGCCAGGGGGCGTGCCCCTGGTGGGGAGGGGAGGGGCCAGGGGGCGTGCCCCTGGTGGGGAGGGGAGGGGCCAGGGGGCGTGCCCCTGGTGGGGAAAGGGCCAGGGGGCGTGCCCCCTGGTGGGGAGGGGTGCAGTCAGGGGCGTGCCCCTGGTGGGGAGGGGAGTGGCCAGGGGGCGTGCCCCTGGTGGGGAGGGGAGTGGCCAGGGGTCGTGCCCCTGGTGGGGAGTGGCCAGGGGGCGTGCCCCTGGTGGGGAGGGGAGTGGCCAGGGGTCGTGCCCTGGTGGGGTGTGGCCAGGGGGCGTGCCCCTGGTGGGGAGGGGAGGGGCCAGGGGGCGTGCCCTGGTGGGGAGGGGAGGGGCCCGGGGGCGTGCCCCTGGTGGGGAAAGGGCCAGGGGCGTGCCCCTGGTGGGGAGGGGTGTAGTCAGGGGCGTGCCCCTGGTGGGGAGGGGAGTGGCCAGGGGGCGTGCCCCTGGTGGGGAGGGGAGTGGCCAGGGTCGTGCCCCTGGTGGGGAGTGGCCAGGGGCGTGCCCCTGGTGGGGAGTGGCCAGGGGGCGTGCCCCTGGTGGGGAGTGGCCAGGGGGCGTGCCCCTGGTGGGGAGTGGCCAGGGGCGTGCCCCTGGTGGGGAGTGGCCAGGGGGCGTGCCCCTGGTGGGGAGTGGCCAGGGGCGTGCCCTGGTGGGGAGGGGTGTAATCAGGGGCGTGCCCCTGGTGGGGAGGGGAGTGGCCAGGGGCGTGCCCCTGGTGGGGAGGGGAGTGGCCAGGGGGCGTGCCCCTGGTGGGGTGGGGTGTGGCCAGGCGGCGTGCCCCTGGTGGGGAGGGGAGTGGCCAGGGGGCGTGCCCCTGGTGGGGGAGGGGCCAGGGGGCGTGCCCCTGGTGGGGAAGGGGCCAGGGGGCGTGCCCCTGGTGGGGAAGGAGCCAGGGGGCGTGCCCCTGGTGGGGAAGGGGCCAGGGGGCGTGCCCCTGGTGGGGAAGGGGCCAGGGGGCGTGCCCCTGGTGGGGAGGGGAGTGGCCAGGGGGCGTGCCCCTGGTGGGGTGGGGTGTGGCCAGGCGGCGTGCCCCTGGTGGGGAGGGGAGTGGCAGGGGGCGTGCCCCTGGTGGGGGGGGTGTGGCCAGGCGGCGTGCCCCTGGTGGGGAGGGGAGTGGCCAGGGGGCGTGCCCTGGTGGGGGAGGGGCCAGGGGGCGTGCCCCTGGTGGGGGAGGGGCCAGGGGGCGTGCCCCTGGTGGGGAGGGGCCAGGGGGCGTGCCCCTGGTGGGGAGGGGCCAGGGTGCGTGCCCCTGGTGGGGAAGGGGCCAGGGGGCGTGCCCCTGGTGGGGAAGGGGCCAGGGGGCGTGCCCCTGGTGGGGAAGGGGCCAGGGGGCGTGCCCCTGGTGGGGAAGGGGCCAGGGGGCGTGCCCCTGGTGGGGAAGGGGCCAGGCGGCGTGCCCTGGTGGGGGAGGGCCAGGCGGCGTGCCCCTGGTGGGGGAGGGGCCAGGGGGCGTGCCCCTGGTGGGGGAGGGGCCAGGGGGCGTGCCCTGGTGGGGGAGGGGCCAGGGGGCGTGCCCCTGGTGGGGGAGGGGCCAGGGGGCGTGCCCCTGGTGGGGGAGGGGCCAGGGGCGTGCCCCTGGTGGGGGAGGGGCCAGGGGGCGTGCCCCTGGTGGGGGAGGGGCCAGGGTGCGTGCCCCTGGTGGGGGAGGGCCAGGGGGCGTGCCCCTGGTGGGGGAGGGGCCAGGGGGCGTGCCCCTGGTGGGGGAGGGGCCAGGGGGCGTGCCCCTGGTGGGGGAGGGGCCAGGGGGCGTGCCCCTGGTGGGGGAGGGTAGATGAAGTAAGTGGGAAAATACTCAGTAATTGTTGTTAAAGTTCACAACAATATAAATGTGTGGAGAAATTAGTAACAGGTGTCCCGGATGATTAGCAGTATGATCACAGGTGTCCCGGATGATTAGCAGTATGATCACAGGTGTCCCGGATGATTAGCAGTATGATCACAGGTGTCCCGGATGATTAGCAGTATGATCACAGGTGTCCCGGATGATTAGCAGTATGATCACAGGTGTCCCGGATGATTAGCAGTATGATCACAGGTGTCCCGGATGATTAGCAGTATGATCACAGGTGTCCCGGATGATTAGCAGTATGATCACAGGTGTCCCGGATGATTAGCAGTATGATCACAGGTGTCCCGGATGATTAGCAGTATGATCACAGGTGTCCCGGATGATTAGCAGTATGATCACAGGTGTCCCGGATGATTAGCAGTATGATCACAGGTGTCCCGGATGATTAGCAGTATGATCACAGGTGTCCCGGATGATTAGCAGTATGATCACAGGGTCCCGGATGATTAGCAGTATGATCACAGGTGTTCCGGATGATTAGCAGTATGATCACAGGTGTCGCGGATGATTAGCAGTATGATCACAGGTGTCCCGGATGATTAGCAGTATGATCACAGGTGTCGCGGATGATTAGCAGTATGATCACAGGTGTCGCGGATGATTAGCAGTATGATCACAGGTGTCCCAGATGATTAGCAGTATGATCACAGGTGTCCCGGATGATTAGCAGTATGATCACAGGTGTCCCAGATGATTAGCAGTATGATCACAGGTGTCCCGGATGATTAGCAGTATGATCACAGGTGTCGCGGATGATTAGCAGTATGATCACAGGTGTCCCGGATGATTAGCAGTATGATCACAGGTGTCCCGGATGATTAGCAGTATGATCACAGGTGTCCCAGATGATTAGCAGTATGATCACAGGTGTCGCGGATGATTAGCAGTATGATCACAGGTGTCGCGGATGATTAGCAGTATGATCACAGGTGTCGCGGATGATTAGCATATGATCACAGGTGTCGCGGATGATTAGCAGTATGATCACAGGTGTCGCGGATGATTAGCAGTATGATCACAGGTGTCCCGGATGATTAGCAGTATGATCACAGGTGTCGCGGATGATTAGCAGTATGATCACAGGTGTCGCGGATGATTAGCAGTATGATCACAGGTGTCGCGGATGATTAGCAGTATGATCACAGGTGTCCCGGATGATTAGCAGTATGATCACAGGTGTCCCGGATGATTAGCAGTATGATCACAGGTGTCCCCGATGATTAGCAGTATGATCACAGGTGTCCCCGAT